TATTACGCTGAAACTATTAATAATTTTTTATTTTTGTAATTATTTATCGATATGTACACTTGTGGTCAGCTGATTAAGTCAAGTGACATTTTGACTAGTTTTGGCTATTTTTATTTCGTTTATTTAATGTTTATATTTTTTTATAAAAGTTTAGCAATTTACTTAATCAGCATACAATAAAAAAAATAGTCAAAATGTCACTTGACTTAATCAGCTGACCACGAGGGTACGTATTACATAAGTCTATTTAAATGTAAAGTTTTTATACTATTTAAAAATTATTTATAAATAAAATTTGATAATGAATCGCAAAGCTGGCATTGTTTAAACATAATGCAATAACTAAACAATTGTTTTTAACTATAAAGCGACAAAGCAAACATACGTTTTCGAACACCAGTGGATTAACTTTTCCCGAAGAAACTTATTGCATACAAAAGTTTACTGATAACACCGCCATAGAACCAACGTGAAGGACGGGGAAACTTGAACAAAAGGAGCGAAATTGTGGTGGGGCAGACTTCGTCGCCAAGTAGTGTTGCTCACCCCGATGGACGACCGTTACGCTACAATCCATGTCAAAGTCAAAATTCTTAAATATCTCGCTCATTTGCGCCAACGTTCTGGCAGAATGGAAAGACGAGGCGATCAAAGAATTTTTCTATGAGCACTTGGAGTGCACCGACGAGCGCTAGCTACCCTTGTCGCTATGTAAAAGTCGTGCTCGGATATTTCAATGCCAGGTCCCACTGTTGGAGCATTCACAGCCTCTACGACGAAACGTTCCGTAGCGAAATGAGGCGTTATCGACTACGCCGGGTCCCTAAACCATGGAGGTAGGTTGAGGAATGTCACAAAACTGAATGCGAAGCAAATATCGCCTAAAGGGCCACGCTGAGGTTGGGCGCAACTCGAGCTATGAAGAATGGATTTAGGGAGTTGAAAAGGGAAGCGTACTTTCCGCGATAAATTGGTTTGAGAACGTGAGTGGGAAGAACTGGAAAAGCTTAGTTTGGCACAGAAGAGCAGCTAATGGCCAGCGATAATCAAGCAGAAGGTTTCTTGGCCATCTCTCACTCATATCTATTAACGGCCTTATGAAAAAATAAGTATATGTTTGCGAAATTTCACTTTGTATTTCCATCAACACTGCTTTCCTAAAGCAATGCTTCGCATACTCAGGGTATTTTGCATTGATTGCGATTTTATAAATATTTTTTTTTAGGCACACTGAAGAGAAACCTTAAATCCATTTTATACGAATTTTGGATTTTTTGAGTTATGACGCTCTTGCAGAATTCGGGGATATGTGCCAAAAACCGGATGAAGGTCGAATTCGGTATACTTATGCATTTGCCTCTTACTTTCTTATATGATATTGCAGCTACATATCAATAGATCGCGCACCAGTGAGTATGGCCAGTTTACGGCAGTCACGTAAGTTGCACAAAACAATAAACGAGCAGCCAAATGTGGTGATGAAAGCAGCAGCAAGCTCAGAAAAGGAGAACAATAAAAAAAAGAAAGGCAAGTAAACGAAACGATGAATCAAGGTGGCGTTTCTAGCAAGCCAAGCGAATTGTTTTCGAAGAGGAGTGGATGAGCGATAAAAAAATGTTTTAAAGTAAAGAAAACATACACAAAAAGGGCAGAACTTAAAACGGTAGCAAGTGAAAGAGAGAAGCAGAGCAAGAAAAAAAAGAAAGGTAAAATCAAAACAAACAAAAGTCAATTGCAGATAAAGCTATCGCTGAAACAAAGAAACAGAGCTTTGAGTTCAAAGCTCAAGTTGTGGCATTCAAGTGATCATATGCGGAAGTTGTTTTGAATGACTGCGTGAATTCGTCGCTGCTTGAGATGAAAGGCTGCAAGCTCTAAAAAAAAATAAATACTAAAAAACAATCAGCTGAAACTGTTTGCTAAATGAAGCGTGGCAAATTAATGATTCGAAAATTGAGGTGGCATGCCAAGGAAATCCAAAAATGAGTTGGTACTTAAGTAGGATATGGGGGCTTTGGCGAACTTATGATTATCGTAGTATGATCGTGTATCGTATGATTTTTCTTCATGTTTGGCGTTGTAACCGTCTATGCGATTTTCACCGAGTCCAGCAGTGCACGCCCTTCGTTTCTTCCCCTTTTCTCTGCTACGAATTAGCAGGGCTGGAGCGTTTGTGTCCGCTGTATTGTAAACCGCTGCGCTATTGAAATATGTATATGTGCGTAAATATGTATGTCGTTGTAAATATCATGCAGTTCAAATCTCTGCAGTATTTGCCGTCGTCGACTTGAAAAAGCCCATAGATCATCCGAAGAATAAATACTTTTCTCGCACGCTGCTAGTGCCGCCTGATCGGATGTTCTCATTGTCTGTAATTTATTGAGAGTGATTTTTATACGATCAGAGGGGATTTTACTTCTGAATTGCCTACTCTGTCCAAAGTAGCAAGTGCTGCTAAAAGTGATTCAGCATTGTACTTCGAGGTCAACATTGTTAAAATGCTGGTGACGAAAGTATAATTCCCAACAGTGAAGTGGATACTTAGACGCGCACGTCCTGACGGGAGATACTACGTTTTGTTCGTGTTCACCACCAGACCTAATCGTTTAGCTGCCAGATCCAACTAGGAAAAGTGAGAAAAAGCCTAGTGCTCCGGCATATGCTAGTTTAACTGTACGCTCTTAGAAAATGTTGTACCTGCGCAATCTAGTTCTGCAGTTCTTATATAATAATCTTCTTCAGCATCAGAGTAGAGAGCAGTCGCATGAAAGAGAGTCACTCTGCCTGAAACCACGTTTGGCATCGAACGGTTCGGATAATTTCTCCTGAATTCTGATGGAGCTATTAGACGCCCTCTTTGATCCGCGGGGATACACAATTAAGACATCATGGCGTAAAGGGTAACTTATTTTTGTGAGCCACACTTTTAGAACTTTGAAAGTTCGCTGAAGTTGGACTTAGGCCTTTCACATAACTTACTTATATGCAACGTTTAAGAAGCTGACTCCGACTTGATTTCGGGTATTTATGAATAAATTCTTTCAATAAGCAAAAACATTTATTATAATCGCTTATAAATTTGCATAGATAAAAGGTAGAAATTAGTTCTTGCAGTAGTATTCGAAAGTAATACCAATCTGTGACTGCCGAAAGCTTTACACTCGTGGTTAGTCCTAGCCTTTGGCTAGCTCTTCAGCTCGGTACTTACACAACTTCCACAACTTTGAGTCTTGGGACCTTTGACTTACCTTCGTATTTTTTCCTTGCAATGTACATATGTATTTAAGATGGCACAGGAGATCGGAAGTACTTATGCATATGAAATTAAAGTCTTAATGGACGGCGGAGTTTCAATATATGTACACTAGGATGGTCATTATAATCAAATGAACGAGTGTTTTCTGTCGCACCACGGTCAATATATGCAACTTTGGATTTGATTGGTGTTAGTTAAGGCGTGCCGCACAGGGGAAAAGTTCACATTCCGGTATTTAATTTTTTCTCTCATCTAATACTCAAAATCATTATTACTACATTCTAAAAAGTGCACGTAAAACTACTACTGAAAAATGTTTACTTTTCAACCAGAATCTATGTAAATATATGCACAAGATGTTTAAGATTTGATTTTGGACGTGAGATGTTTAAAAAATACACATAAATATACACACGAAATGTTTAAATTTGCAAAAATTTTGAAAGTAAAATTACACTTTTTACGAATAATAGATATTAAGTGCTCATATTTACTAAATTATAAACATTTTATGTGCATTTTCGTTCTACGTGACAAATTAGAATAGATAGTGGTAGTAGTAATGGTAATGGAATTGGTAATGGTAATTGTGATGGTTATGGTAATGGTAATAGTAATGGAAATAACAATCATAGCGGTAATGATAATTGTATCGGTCTTCGTATTCATATTCATATTCGACCTCATATTCAGCTATGTACTTATACGAATTCGAATGGTCTGATTATGGCAACTTAACGTAATTTACGGCTCTCGCTTAAAAATTCTGTTAAATAGATGTTGCTTATAATTGAACAGCCGAAACTTATCGCAACTTAAATCTGTTTCGTTTTGATTCTCTAAGTTCTACGTTCCGTTAAGTTAAGTTAAGTTGCCATAATCAGGCTTTAAGACTTCGTCTCCGCATTCCATCTTCGAGCTCGAGCTCATCTTCTTCATCCTGTTCTTCTTCATTTTCGTTTTCGTGCTCATCCTCGTCTTCGTGTTCGACCTCGTATTCATCTTCTTTTACTCTAAAGAACTTTAATTCCGTAAATGAATGTTATATCTAATAATCTAAGTTGTCAAAGCACTTTAAAGTATCAAAATTTAACCCCAAAATAAGCAAAAATTTCGCGTAATTTCTGCCACAGAAAACGGTGACGCTCACAAGAATGAACCTATCAGTGCACCTGAAATTCTTTCGTTTAAACGCCACACATTAAAAAAAAAATCGCTTCACTACATCACGTTCAGTAAGAGTTTGAGTAAAGCTCTACAATTTACAACTAACTATAAAGTCAGAGCGTGGCATCCATACCGAAACGCCAGACGTATTCAACTTCAAAACATTGAATTATTATTTACAACTTCTTATTTAGCGGTTTGTTTAGAGTACTCCCACCTCGTGACATGTAAAATTGCTCTCTGTTTTTGCAATTACTTTGCTTTGATTTCGGAACTAATTCTCGCCATATTTCCCCTTTTTTGTTCATATCACTTCTTACTTTCTCCAAGTACGCTTCGTATGTGACGCGTTTTACCTCGCTTGGCTGAGCATTTCTTTCCCATTATTTTTCTCTATCCATACCTTGTTCTTCACATATGCATGTACTAAATTTGTGTACTTACATACGTAAATGTATATGTGAACATAGGTATATATGTATGTACATACATATATATAATAAGCACTGTTGTTTGCCTTACTAAATTTTCACCCAACTGTCGTCACTTTCATTTAATCGTCGCACATGCGCAATTCGTTGCGTGCTGGTGTGGGCACATAGTCAGTCATAGCATAGCGGTCTTTCACAAGCGACTATTATTTAGCTGCTATCGCTGCAATAAATTTGCCTTAAATTATTCATTTATTTATTTGTATATTCATAAATTCGCCCTACAAAGTGACGTAAAACCAATCGCGTTCAATTTTTGCAATACTGTTTGGCGCTATATCATTTCATTGCCATTAATCTGTTTCATAAACTGTTGGACAAATTGACCAATGTACAGCTTTCAGCAATACTTTTGAGCTATCGGTCAACATCCCTTGTGTCATTAAGTGGTTGTATCTAGTGTTTTGTATTTCTCTCAAGGGAGACATATAAATACATGGATACTTATACGTAAATGTGCTTTATCTAACAGAAAGTTAAGTGTGTTCGCGCTTGTTTATTTAATTTCTGAATTTTACAATTGCCATGTCGCCGCGCTAAATGTTTGCTTATTTATTTTTGAATACGCGAATTTAGTGTAAAATTTGCGGTGTTCGCTCGATTCAGGTGCGGGAGCTTTCTTACACAATTTTGCATTCCAGTTTGATCCCGCATTTTTGTGTATGTTTATGAATATGCTTTTGCTTGTGCTGTGTGTGTGTGTGCGTGCTGCGTTTTAAGCATTCATGTACAGAAATGCAATAAAATGCATTCATAAATGGTTTTGTGAAATTTTTTTGAGTGCTTCTAATGGATTTTTGTTTGCGACAGCTGAGGTGAGTAAATTTTTTCTCAAGTATATATGTACATATTGTAAAAGTATATATATTTATTCATAGTACAGTTAATATTATATCTGAGATAACTCCTACTTACATTAGATTTTTAGCTCTTTAGATTTTGATAAATTTTTATAGTAAATATGTAGACGAACCTCAAAGCTTGATGATACAACGAAAGACTTATGAACAGAACTTGCAAAAATGAGCGAGTTTTTTTCGCACAAAAAACTTTCGAAGTGGGTTACTGCCTGTTTCCTAAATTAAATTTTACTTAGGCAATTGAAATAAATATTACAAATATATTTACATTAAATTAATTTTAAAGTATTTTATAATAGAGTTGCCACATTTCCAAAATGCATGCAAATTACTTTATCTGTTATAACGTTGAACCGAATACCACGCATGCGGGTCCGCGGGAAAAGATATGCCTTAGATAAACCGAGGAACCATATTATTAATAGAATGATAAACTTCTTGACCTAGAATGTCATCAACCTGCACTTATTTGCTCCTATCTTTTTTAAGCAGAGCTCACACGATTTGTACAGATTTGTACATTTTGGCGGTCTAAGAGTGGTGTTGTTTGCATCTGTGGTGTGCGTCTGTAAATCATTATAGCATAACAAATTATTGAATTTTTTTTTAATTATTATTGCCTTAAGATATATACATATGTATTTAATTAAAGGTGACACTACATTTGAATAAAATTTAAAATAACGAATTGGAGATAAAATCCAATAACCTTTACAGTCACTCTCAGCAAAAATTTAGCATTACTAATTTTATTGCCCTGCACTCAGCTAATTTATGTTAATTATTTTGCTGGCAAGTCGTGAATAGCAAAAACAATAAGTTAAGTGAAATATTTTGCGTGGTTATATTCACTTTATTAAAATATTGCATTTTGAAATACTAAAAGCACTACAAAAATGGCAGTTGTGCAATATTTGCACTTTTTTTTTCGGAATAAAAAAGCAATTTTTCACACCTCATATTTGATGCTTTGCGCAGATGCAAATTACATATTAAAAAGATGCCTTACTACGTTGTCATTTCAAGAGCAATGTAGCATTTTCATAAATATTAAGATAATATAAGAAATTAAAAGCGTAGCTGTGAACAATAAATAAAATGATTGTATTAATTAAAAATGACTGACTTAAGCGCTCATACCTACTGACATATCACTTAATTATTTACCAAAAATGTTGCCGAAAATTAAATGAACGCAAGTGTAAAAATGGTTGGATGAAATCTGAGCGGCATCTCAAGGTTGATAAGTAAATGCTACTAGCCTACATCCCTTCCTTTTCTTAACGTTGATAGCTATACAGCTCTCACATGCACATTTCGAATCGGCGTATGAACAGGTTGCTTCGGTGAGGCCAATTAGTTGACAATAAAATGAATTTGTAGGTCGTGAAGGGTGGATTGTTTTTTTTTTTTTTTAATGCATTTTATTTGTAACATACCATCCTCCGGAATTTGAGAATTGTGTGAAAGATATTTTGCGTTTAATTAATGTTCAAGGATATGTGAAAGCGGATGGTAAACTTTTTAATGGCTAAATCAAAATCAGAGGTTTGACATTGTCGAACACCTGCCTTGAGATTTATATTGTGTAAATAAATTGCATAATTTCTTAATGGTGTTAATTAATTTAATTTATAAACTCGCGTAAAGAATTCGGATAATACAAAAAAAAAAACAAAAAAGACGGTTCCACTCCATGTGATAAAAAATATGAATACAGGCATTAAGAAAAAAGTGAGGGAACGTATCTTGTTCTCAAAAAGGGACTGTGACGAATGGGCGGGAATTTTTTCAATTGACCTCTAAATCGAAGAGTCTATTCGAATTCGGCCTATGCCATTAGCCTCAAAGCTAACCGGGACCAGCATTGCTATTTTCTCGGATAGCCAGGCAGCGATCAAGGCACTTGGTTCTGTAAGCATCACATCCAGCATAATCAAACAGTGCAGAGAGACTGTTGCACTGATCTGGGTACCGGAATACAGCAGAATTCATGGCAATGAGCTGGCCGATGAGCCAGCCAGTAATGACTCAAAGGCAGAGGAAGGTTTTGTGCCGCATAAGTTTGTTTGGCTGATCACAGAATGGTGTTGTATATTAGAGGGCTGCATGAATTCATTCAAACTTCTAGCCAACCATAGTACAGTAGATTTGAGTATTTTACTTCACATACAAAACGCTCAGCGTTTGGAGTTTTCTACGTTATGAATATACATTTTGTTTTAAATTTTCTACTTTAAAATGGAAGAATGTGTATGAATGAATGAACAACATTCAAGCTCATTTCGGTGGAAGTTTTTTCCATAAACAAGTTTGTTCGTATTGTAATAGGAGCGCAGTATGCACGCATACATACATACATATGTAGAAAAAAATATTTTTTTATATTCCCTGCAAACCATTTGTTCGGAGTATTCTGAATTCTAGAAAAATTTTAAGGAATTCGTATAGATCTCATCACACGAAATTTAGGAAGAAAATCGGTAAAGCAATGAAACTAATGCTACTATGTGAAGAATTTCTTGCAGAATTTTTTCAGATAATTTATAATTTTTCGTACAAAAATTTCTTAACGAGTTTGTGTCAACCTCTTTATACATATAATTTTCTTTGAACATTCGTAAAAAATCGTTACAGAAATGAGATACTCCTAGAGATTTCGGGAGCTGAGGTTTGCAGGGGTTATACAAAAAATTGTCAATTATTTCAATTCAATTCATTTTAATTTTGAATATTGTAATTTCGACACATATGTATGTATATCAGAAAAGGTATCCACTCCAATTAAAAAAAAAAAAAAACGCAAAAATCCTTCATTCGTTTTGTACGCTGGCGGCAAAAAGTATTGGCACAGCAAATTTTTCGCAATATATGCAACAATTTTTTTTTAAAATATTTTTCCGCAAATTTTTTATAAAGTTTGGTTAATTTTACAACAAAAAACATAAAAATATAGTTCCTAAAATTTTTGCAAAACTCACGAAAATTCAGCAAATTTTCATGGAAATTTTCACCTTTTTAATCAGATTTTTTAGATTTTTTTAACTATGCAGATTTGTAGCTCAATAAATTTTGTTATAATAAAGTACAAGTTTTAAGTAACTAGGAACTGCCGTTGATTTTTGGCAACTTTTTTTCACGCAGCCTCTTCCATACAAAAAATTTTTTTCTGAAGATACTTTATATGGAAGAAATGCAAAACACCTTCAAAAAAAAAATTCCCAAAAATCAATGCAATTTTTGACTAACTGCGAACTTGAATTTTTTTTCACTAGAATTTAATGGGTTGCAAAAACGCATACTCAAAAACTTGCTGAATATTCGCGAGTTTTGCACAAAGTTTAGGATATAAGCTACCTTGACACTCGAAATCATCTATTTCGGAAATGTGTAGAGAAAAAGCGACTCATAAAAAAGGAACTTGACCCCACATAATTTATTTTATATGTGAAATAACTTCATAAAATATAAATTTTATGGAGTGCTGAAAAAAAACAATATCCAAAAAACTAAAATTGTAACTGTCGAAATCAATAGTATGTGGATATTATACCAAACATATGTTTCATAAGCTTTTTTTGCATATCACTATCGGATGATTATTTAAATACCTATATATATTTTTTTACTTTTATTTCGATTGATTTTGCGCTGAAAGCAATATTCAAATATTAATTTTTTTATTGATTAATCCAAAGCTTTAAAGCCAAAAACTGAAAAGTGAAATGACGGATGAAAAATAAACCACTGCGCTTTCAACCGCAATTCAACATTTGCCAAACTCTGGCACATAGCAACAAACACGCATGTGTGTTTGCTATGATCACTTTCCTGAAAATGGGTTATTTTATGGTTACGAATTGATTAACATGGCAATCTTAATGAACAAACGTTATATGAGATGCACAAAACAACCAATGAAGAAGTGCATAAAAACTAATTTCGAATTGCCATCCTCACAAAAGAGCACACAAACAAGCAATGTCATTATAAAAATAATTTCAAAACAAATTTGTAGTTCAAGCGATGACAACAACAACCACTACGAACCATTTTCAAGTTTTAACCAATACATATCTATTATTTCAATATAGTTTGGATGTCAAACAACAACAATACCAAAAACCGGCAATGGTCTCAAGGTCGTTCAGAAAATGAGTTTATTCGGCGACTGTGCGTTTGTATGTATGTCAGCAAGTGTGTGTATCTGCAGATGGTAATGCTGATAGTTGCGCTGGTCATGTTGCGTATTTCTGTTGTTTCTTCATTTTATACCTTTCATGAACATGAAATGGTACTATAACTTTGATCCGTTGCTTGTAAGTACTAGAAGAGGTAGAGATGGGTCTAGAAAAAAAAATTATGGATTTTGCTATGTTCGTCCGCCTGTCTGTGTGAACGCATACCTAGAGATATTCCCTAAAAATTTGGGTATCCCTTTATAATGTGTTAATTATTTGTCGGAACATATACATATGTATGTATATGGCTTCCACACAACCTGATCCATAACTTAGATACATACCTAATGCCCTGACATTTCTTGACTTATTTACTACATATTTCAATCGTAAAAGGTTTAATACAAAATCATCAAGATCGGTGACGTACGCACATATATCTCTCATACCACAAATTATTCTGATATAAGTTTTGTGTGATATAGCTCCTGAATGAATGTGGGTAAGAAGCTGTACCCTTACCATAAATAAAAGGTTCACTGAATACCTGCTCCCAAAAGGCACATTAAAAAATTCAAATTTGCTGTTATTCATAAAAGGTATGAAGCCTTCGACATAGCCGAAGACAACATTTTTCTTACTTGTTTTTGTTTTTTTTTTTGCTTTTAGTGGCATCACTGATTTAGTGCCATTAAAGCGAAAGTCAGACAATCAGTAAACAAAATTCGAGCGCTACTTTTAACTGGAGCATCAGATACTTTTAATGAAGAAAGA